AATCCCCTCCCCCCCCCCCTTTTTTTTTTTTTTTTTTTGGTTGTAGAACGCATTTTGTAATAGTAAATTGATGAAGAATACGTTGTTAAAAAACAACGAAATTTTGGGTTTGCGAGCGATATTATTTTATTGAAAAATTTGTAGTTGAAAAGAAGTGGGAAAAAACGTATTTTGGAATTAATGGGAATTAAAAAAGGGCTAAATAATGGTAATTAATTAATTATTTTCCTTTTGATTATGGTAATAATTTTCTAAATTCATTGCGGAGCTAATTGTATTATTGGTCATTAAAGTTTGTGCTCTATTTCAAATTGACCACTAAAGTGTTTTCAGAAATATTTATATTTCAAGTTGATCTTCCAACATGTGCCATTTGGATTTCTTGAATAAATGAGCAAGATTCCCATCCACAAAACACCATGTAATTTTTTTCATTGTTAATCCAGGTAATTAAATTTGACCAATTATATTAACGTTTCCTATTTTATTTTAGCAATTAATAGATGTCACATTGATTATACATTATTCTTTTCTGCTCTAATAACTAATTCTGAAATTCGTTAACTAAATAAGTTAGAAAAATACTTTAATGACCAACATGAACTTCTGTACAAACTTTGTGATGATTTGTGAAATTAACTCAGTTATTACTTGAACCGTCAGCAGACCGGTTTATTGGTGTGTCAATACTGGACCGCTCATTTGCTCGGCCACGCTCCTTATAGCATCATTCTCTCTCTCACACACATCCACACAGAGAGACCCACTTCTATCGTCTCCTTTGATCTGCTACCACACTCCATTTTTCTGAACTCGAAAGATGAGTAAGATTTCTTAGTCTTTCTTTGATCTCCATTTCGGTTTATTTTTTCATTATTTCGATTGATTTTCGTCTTTTGTTATAAGTTTTTAATCATTATTATTTCGTTTCTACCAACAAAATTGATGACTATATATGCACTGATCTCGTTTTTCAGGATTTGGAAAAATCTGCGGATTTATCGACCCACTCATTCGCCGAAGCGTTGTGAATCGTACAGCCTCCGATTTTAAGGTATCATGGTTATGTTTATCAAATTAATTCTTTAATCGTCTAATTGTTTTCATCTATTATATGCAATTATATATATTTTTCGATAAAGATGTAATTTTTTTCATATTTTATTAAATTTAGAAATAAGATCTGTATCTCTTTATCTCAACATAATATACTTACTGTAAAATGTGACCTCAGTGAAAATGTTGGCAGAGTGCTAGAATTGATTGTTAGTGATTCTGTTCAGTTTTCCCTGTGAATCTAGAAAGCATTCATTTGTTATTCATGTTTGATGGTGACAAATAGTTAAGGCAAATCTTACTTACTTTTATTGTGTTTTATTTTGAATCTATGTTTTAGGAGGTGTTTGATAGACATTTTTATGTAAAAATACATTTTAGAATAGTAAATTGATGTGAAATGTGTGGTTGAGAAATAAGGAAATTTTTTTGATTTACGTGTAATATTATTTTAATAAAGAATGTATGGTTGAAAAGATGAGAGAGAGAAATGCATTTTGAAAAAAATGGCTACGAAACGGGGCCTTAGTATGTCCAGTGAAGCATAAGTTTTCTTCTGGACAAACATGCGAGACTAAAAGATATATTTTTTGCTTAGTTCATCAGTTGTGCCTAAAAGATTTTTGCTGGATTCAACTGTATACAACAATCTATGATAATTCATGAGAATATAAAACAGTTTAACAGAAACATTATCTATTAAGAGAACAAATTCAAACACTGTCTGCAATTGTTCTAGTCTATTTGTGCCAAATTGATAACCATTTTGTAGTACTGACTTTAGCTCAACAGATTTTAGTAGCTGAACTTTTGAAAGTGTAATTGTATGCAGTTCATTTTTGTGTAATGATTTAAAATCAAGGGTGTCAAATACAATTTCATCACTGACACATATAAATTGATTAAAAGGTTAAGTCTGAAGATTATATCATTATTGTATTGAAAACATAGCAACTCGTCAATTCTAAATTAAGGATTGCTATAGTAATGCTCGCTGAAGCCTGATAGAGGAGGGAAAAGAAATCAACATGTGAGTGGGCATGCCCTATCAAGCTGTATTGTGTTTCAGGGCGCCATGCTTTTCTAGATTGAAACTGATTATCCGAAAAGGTTCTGCCAAGTGGATCCCACCGATGTTAACAATGAGAGAATTTTATGAACTAATTCTTTAGTCGGAGTTTTAGAGTTCTTAAGAAGCAAAGAATAGCATACATATAAGGATGTGAGTGAGAAATCACTTTTCTCACGAAACGCGTCCTAATTGATTCATAAGGAGGTGACAGTATTTGAGCATACCAAAGACTGAGGAACGTCTTTATTAGAATATTTTTGCTTCTCACTTCGGTCAATTAGCAATAATTTTTTCTAATTGAACTGGTTTTCCAAATACTTTATTCAAACTCCATTTGTCTTCAATGCTTTGCATACATGGTTTATCATGTTGTTTAGAGTACTCAAGAGGCAGCCTATACATACACTTGTTATACTTGATGAGAATAAGCATTACTCGTTTTTCCAATCTTTAATATGGATATTAGTATGATTTAAAATTGAGGAAATAATAGGTTGATATGGAGCTAGGCCTCCTTTAACAGTCCATAGAATTGACCTCTTCAAGTGGTAAAATCAAAACCTTGTTCAGGCAGAAACCTGAGCAAAAACATGTCTAAAAGGACCAAGCTAGCAACGACAGTGGGAGTGCAAGAATCATAATTGCTGGAGAGTCAAACAAGAGTGGAAAAAGGAAATGAGTTAGTATGATGTGGAACTGAGAGACTGATGAAGACTTGAAGTAGCTATACGCAATCTACTTTTTCATATTTCAGTTGTGACAAGAGTCATGATTATGCATATCATCTTCAAGCGAATCTATTCAATAATTTTCGTTCTCATTATTACTCAAGCATAAAGTTGGGGAGAGTAACAAAGTCGTCAATGCACCACTTAGCAGGCGTAGTTACTTGTTGAATACAATGTATGCTCAATTAATAATCTTTGAGGAGTTTTAAGAAATAGCATTAGGAAATAAATGAAAGACTTCCTGAAAGTATTGAGAAAACTGACTTTTCTTTTGTTATGCATGATGATTATTTATTCAGAGGTAATCACTAATGCATACTTGAGGTTCTACACGAGCAAATTATCAATGAATTACATGGCAGTGGTTTAGCAGGACATTTTGGTTGATAAGAGACTTTAGCTTTGGTGGAATAATGATTTTATTGTTGTAAACAGCACAAGCTATTGTTGTTAGAGAACTGTTTTTGAATTTACTAATATGCCTAAGGTCATCCTCAATGATTGGTTGTTATTTCCTTCTTGTAATTGTTACTTTGCCTTGGGTTCTTCCTAGTATGACCATTATTGGGCAAACAATATAGAAGAACACTCGATATCTGAGGAAGAGCTAAGCTATGTATCCACTCATTGAAGTCAGATTCTCTTCAGCCTTGAGTAATTGATGTATGAGCAAGAGTTTAATATTTTCAAATCCTTCTTGGAACAGTATTTCTATTCTTATTAGACTTGAATAGTTGGTTAGGATTAGATGTGGACTCTTAAGTTAGTGGTTCTTTTAGGTTTCTAACTACAATTATGATTACTTTCCTAGTTATAGTAGATTTTGGACTACCCTAGCGATTTATACTTTACTGATTAGAATAGGTTTTGGAGTCCTTTAAGGGTTGAAAAGCTTTTAATTTGGACGTATTGTTACATGAAAAATAACAATAAGAACTTTATGTGGCAGCCCAGAAATTCTTGGCTTTGCTTGGATTTAATTCTGAGGCACTAAATCTGTATTTTACTTTGATCTCCGCCAATATCCCTTTGGTTCTTTCATCTCTATTATTATATTGTTGGTTAAAGCTTGTTCCTTCATCACTTAGCCATTGTTTATGATGCAGGAGTGTATAATTTGTTAACTAACAAGCCAAAATATATAAAAGAAAGGGGTGTGAAGAAGAGAAGAGTTGGGGACAAGAGGAAATTCAATCTTTATTCATATAATGAGGTTCTTTATTATATTGTATAAGTCCCTCTATTTATAGAGCAAATAATGTAAAGGTGTGTTTGATTAGAGGTGGAATTCCATGGAAAATGGAATTGGAATTCCACCTTCCAATTTAACCATGTTTGAAACCCATTTTTTTCCCCTAGAATTGAATTTCCATCTTTGGTGCCACATAAGCCAATTTCCATGAATTCAAAGAATTGCAATTCTCACCAAAATGGTGAGAATTGCAATTCCCGGTTACTGTAACATTTTTTTTTCGATTTTTTTTTTGGGAAATAAATTCTAAGAATTATTGTAAAAAAATATTTTCCTTTAATTGACAATTTTCATGTAAAACAAGGCCAAACGAACACCAAAAGATAGTTGATTTTTTTTTTTTTTTTTTTTTTTGAAATGGGAACTAATTTTTTTTTTTTTTGGCAATGAGAACAAATTCATCCCCAATACCAGTAAAATCTATCCCTTTAATTGATAATTTTCATGTAAAAAAAGTCAAACGAACACCAAAAAAACACTTTTATTTCAACATTTTTCACGTGGAAAATTATACCAATCAAACAAAATAATTTGCAATTCCCAGAAAAATAATTTTTAGACAATTCAATTTCGTAGAATTCGTTTTTAATTCCATCTTTGCAATCAAACGGACCCTAAAAGAAGTTAAAAAGGATACAAACTTCTAGTAAACTATAATTATATCAAAATATCAAAATTAATCTTATCTAATCTAATTAAATACACTTTAGATCAAACTTTATTTTAAACTCCTAATTAAATATATCTCCATCTTTATTCTAATCTTGATCTCCATCGGTTATTTTTTTGGTAAAAATCATATTTTTAGCAGATTTTGATAATAATTGATGAAGAGTATTATTGAAAAGTTGATAAAAGTCGCGAATTTTATTAAATGTGTGGTTGAAAACAGTTTGGGAAAAAAATGATACTCTAAGTTGAGTCCAACCAATTCTAGTCTTTGATGATGACCATACTTATATGACAACTGTTGAAATTTATTTTGGTTTTAGGGCAGATGTTCTCTGTTGATTTGATTGAGTGAGATTCAAGTCCAAAGAAGCTTGATAGTTAAGTATTAAGCCCTTGCTTGAGCCTTTTTTTTTTCCATCAAAATCTATTCTTAATCAGTGATTTGATCTATTTCAGCCACACATTTTTCAATAAAATAATATTACACACAAACCCAAAACTTTTTCTTATTTCTTAATCATACATTATCAATCATGAAAATATTACAAGATGCATTTTTTGAAAAAAAATGGGCTCAAACAAGCCATAAATGTTTGTAGACTACGTTTAAAGTTAACCAGTATTTTCTTAAAATTGTGTCTTAAAGCACTGATTTTCTTCTTAGAATTCCTTTGTCAGTAAGATGTTAATCAGCTGGGTATAATAATAAAAATGCATATGCTATATACAACCAATAGAAAGGCAAGCAAGTCTTATTCCTAGATACATAGTGCCGGTGGATGCAAACACCATGATTCCAATTAATTTAAAAAACATACCTAATTTCTAAAAGAAAAACCTAAATTATGGGAAAAACATAAACAATGCTTGTGAAGCTTGTATCCTCAGTATCGGTGATGATACTGGAAGAAAACATGTGGGGTGGAGGTAGTACAATGTTGTTCGCCTTGCATCACGAATTTCCAGTTTGAAAATTAGATAAGTTAAAATTTACTTATAATATATGGCACTCACTCTTTGAATTAATTTTTTTCACATATATTAATGAGACAACTATTAATGAAAGAACAATGGTGTAGCAATATTTAAGTTTTGATAAATTTTGATACTTGAAAGGGATACTGAACTACTTGAATACTTTTGACACTTGTATAGATGTTTATCATAGGTTATGTTTTCAATTTACACACAAACACACACACATTTGGAACTTTCACTGGATATGGGTAAGTAACTATCATTCTTCCCAAGAGGTCCGGGGAAAATTGGAAGTT